TCAATTTAGGGAAATTTACTGTATTGTTCATTTCATGTCTTTAGCTTAATAGGAAATCCTATTAGGTGGACAGTGGGTCTCTTGGATCTACTATCCATGTCTCAACATATTCTCAATTTTCATCCCTTATCTTTTAAAAATTATGTTCTCAAAGAGTCTATCAGGTTAATCTTTTGATTTAATATTTAGGTCTATGGTAATGTCCATTATTCAATCGTATTCTTTTTGAAAATATTTCAACATGACAGTTATTTTCGTCTTTAACAGTCTGTTCATAGCAGTAGTATGTCCGGGGGTACTAATTTATGCTGTTACATATTAATTACCCTAAAATATTAAAACAGGATGAGCCAGTGAACCTCAAAGGGGAAAAACAGATGGGATTTAAATGGCCACATATCGGAAGCAGCGAGACTCCACCCAGCCCACACAGGGATCCCTTTCTGTAAAAGAAATGTTGTAATATTCCTTTTGCTGTCCTGAAATGAAGCCCACTGGAATAATCTACATCCACGGCAAGAAACCCCATTGTAAAGGAAGAGATAAACAAAAGGAAAACCATTGAAAATAAGACATACTTTCGTACATAAAGGCTCAAGCAGCACTTCCGTAGACGAAAACAGAAATTGAATGGATGTAGTTACTGTGTGTGCCACAGCAAAGGTGTGGACAAACGAGAGGGGTCAGTGGAGACTCAGATGCCATGAGTTACACTGCAATTGGTGACATGATGTTCCAAAATGGTTAAAAAAAAAAAAAAAAAAAAAAAAACCTCTTAGTAAAGTTCTGAAAAAAAATGAAGTACAATCTCCCTTTGATTTACATGGTAGTGCATTCCTGGAAAATTCAGTGTATATATAACCTAGCCAAAATACAGTACCACTCGTGTTATTCTTTCCCGAGTTGCTTGAGCTAATGTTTATTTTTATTTTTTTCTTAGAAAAGTTTTCAAAGCGACAAATTTTCTTGAGCTCAGTTTTACTCAGATTCCATAGATTCTGATTTCGGTGTTCTTTTCTGGATAATCTGCAATTTCATTTTTATTTCCTTGATCAGAATACTCTAAATTTTTTTATTTCTAGGTCCCTTTTCAGTTTATATTTGCTTCTAGTTCTATTGGACTAGGGTCATAAAATGTAATTTGAGGTATTTAAGTATTTTGGAGTTTAATGAGGCTTTTCTGTGGCCTACTTTAGAATTTCGTTTTGTAAATGCTCGATGAGATGTAATCTCATTTTCAGGACAAAATTCTCTTTCCATAGCTATGACATAGCTATGAAAACAATTCCCTGTGGGACTAAAATTAAATACAAAGAATCTAAAAGAGAATCCATAAAATGCTATGACATCAGCCTGAAGAATTATGACATTCAGACCCTCTATAACCATTTTTCTTCACGGTCTGAAAGATGTGTTTTACAGATTATCAAGTAATGTGGTTTTGTTGATTATGTTTCTCATGTTTTGTTTTAGGCCTTCAATGCTCTTCTTGTAGTGGCTCATAGCATTAATTACTAAAGAACAACTTTTCGACCCAATTAATAAGCATTGACTTCAACTCTGGTTTTTTGTTTTGTTTTGTTCTTTTGTGCTCTCTGCTTTCTGTCTGCATCTGCCTCGCATATTGTAGTTAATCCTCTCACTTAAAATCTTTCTCATCTGCAAGCATACAGTTGGTTTCATTTTTCAATGTAGTTGAAACGTCTCAATACATGAATTTATGTCATTTAAATCTCTTGTTAGAGATACAGTTGGTCTTGCTTCTGTCATCTCGTTTTATGGATTCTCTTTCTGATTCTTTGTATTTAATTATAGTCCCACTGGAAATTACTTTCATTTTTTTTTGCTGTTTTGTCGTTTTTTGAGACAGGGTCTCTCACTCCATCACCCAGGCTGGAGTGCAGTGGCACGATCACGGCTCATGGTGGTGACTTTCCAGGCTAAAATGATCCTCCCACCTCAGCTTCCTGAGTAGCTGGGACTACCAGTGCTTGCCACCATTCCCGGCTCTTTTTTTTCGTTTTTTCTTTGTAGATACAGGGTTTCACCATGTTGCCCAAGCCGGTCACATTCTTAAAAAATAATTACTTAACTGATATTTACGTACATTTATATTGCTTCCTTCCTTCTTCTATCCTTCGTTATTGTGATATCTTCTAGATTCCTAATAGTAATTATTTTCAAAAGTTTTTACTTTATGCTACATTGCGTTCCTTTAACATTTACAGCAATAGATGTTTTGTAGCTATATTTTGTAGTTATTCAAATATATTTCTATTTAGAACTTTTCTATGTTTGAGTGAAACTGATGATCACAAACAGCTAATCTACAACTAAGTAGCAATGCCTGGCACAGAGCAAGGGCTTAACAAATGGAACCTTTTGGTATAATTCTTGTCCGAATCAAATTAAACAATTAAACAAGCATTACTTTGTTTGAAATGGTAGACTCTGCAGTGTTTAGTCAGCCTTTTAATTTATAACATATTTTGAGTGACTAATAGAAGACAACCATCATACATTTGTAAATCCAAAAACATTAAGAACAAATTTTTTCTGAACTTGAATTTTAAGGTTAAATTCTTATCCATATTGAGCAGGAAAAAGAAATCTGAGAAAAATAAAATTTAAATGGAATGTCTTGCATTGGACCATTCTATAGAGTGTATTAACGCTTAGTAATTGTATCAAAGCAGGGCGTGTGACTGCTGAGCAAAAGGACAACTGTTGCTAAGTGAAAAGTAGATATTGAGAATGGCCTGAGTTGCTCATGAATACTGTTTCAAATTAGGAGTGCTTTCAGCAGCAAGGAAGCCATAACTTAAACCATCAGAACATTTTTTTTTTTTTTTTTTCAAATTTAACGGTTAGAGGAAGGAAGTTCCAGGATTGGTGCAGCAGTTCAATATTATGGATTTAGGATCTTTTTCACTCAGTCATCCTTAGTACATTGGCCTTTATCATCCTTTGATGCAGGGTTAGGATTACAGCTGTCATATTGACAAGCATCACAACATAATTGAGCATCTCAAGCAGAAAGATGAGGATAGGACCATAAAGGATTTTCATTTCATGCAGTTGTTTGTTTAAATCAGAGAAATGTGTCTTTCTCATAGCTCCTCTGACAGACATGACCTGGAACTGGTAGCATGACCGGCCCAGATAAATCACTACAAAGAGATTATCATGATTGACTGAGGCCAGTCTTCAGTAGGGACTGGAACTCAGTAGCATAAAATTTCATAGTATGCTATCTAAGCTTTTTATACATTTCTGATAATAGCCATTGTTTGAAGATGAACCCACTTATACAGGCATGGAAACATAAAGTTGTATCTGACTAAAGCAACAGTGTTTTGAGAAAATTCTTCACCAACTGCATGTGCATAAGTGTGAACAATCATTCCCCTAATTACCCAAATCTTAATTTGTTTCCAGCTTTAGCTCAACTTACAGAAACCCCATGAAGCACAATGCAGTGGAAACAGCATGGAGCTGAGGGACGCCAGATGACATTCCAACCCTGATTTCACTCCTCATCACCAATGCCACCCTGGGCAAGGTACTCCAGCCCTGCTGCTCAGTTTGCTCCACTGTAAAATATGAAGATAATATCTTCCATGTAAGATACTTGTGGTATTAAATGAGATCATGTATGGAAATTATAAAGATATTCTATGATTAATAAGTACAATTTGGCCAGGCAGTGATTAGGCCTATGTGCATAAGATAGTTCTTTTGGACAAAAGTAAAATAGTTTCTCCCCTCCAGAAGCTTAAGTGTAACTGAACACGCATTTGGGGATAAAAGGGTGGCAGCAGAAGAAACGGCATTAATACAATTAAGGGACATTTCTAATTGTTATCAGTTACATTGCATACCCAGTGGTTAAAAATAAAAATTGGTTCCCTTCCTATTGGGGATTACCTAATTAGTTCCTGATGTGTCACTTGGTAGGCAGCTATGACATTTAAATAAAAGTAATAAAGCTTCTGGCCAGACGCGGTGGCTCACGCCTGTAATCCCAGCACTTTGGGAGGCCGAGGCGGGCAGATCACGAGGTCAGGAAATCGAGACCGTTGTGGCTAGCACGGTAAAACCCCATCTCTACTAAAAATATAAAAAATTAGCCGGGCGCGGTGGCGGGCGCCTGTAGTCCCAGCTACTCGGGAGGCTGAAGCAGGAGAATGGCGTGAACCCGGGAGGCGGAGCTTGCAGTGAGCTGAGATCGCGCCATTGCACTCCAGCCTGGGTGACAGAGTGAGACTCCATCTAAAAAAAACAAAAAATAAAGCTTCTAATAAATTATTTATTGTAAACTTCCAGTGGGTTTACTAATAGGGAAACTGTTTATGTAGGGTGGTTGAGAATACTTACACAGCTATTTTTAAATTGTGTGACGTGATAATGACCATTATACAACAGGAGCTCACAATTATTAAACAATTTTGTCCCAGGTTTTGTTCTAAGGATACATGGATTCTTTCATTTCATGCCCACACCAATCCCATGGGCATACCCCTATTTTTTTCTGATGAGAAAATGAAAAACAGAGAGGTTCAATGATTTTCCCAAGGCTGCAGAGCTGGAAACAGGCAAAACCAGAATGTGAACTGAAGAATTCTGACTCCAGATCCCATGCTCTTAAATGCTCTTAAGAGCAACCTTTCTGTGGATGCAGAGCTGGGGCTAACTGGCTCGAGGACTGAAGCAAGGCCAATGCTAGCTAGTTTGCATAGCAGGTAACAATTTGTTCCTATATGCACGGTTGTAAAAGCTGAGTTTCGCCTAACTGGAGCTCAGGAAGAGGATGTGTGTGACACTGATCCCTAGTGGGGAGGAGGAGAGAAGGTGGGGAGTGGGGGAGGTGTGTTCCCATCATTGATGGTCCTAATTCTTCCTTCCCACTGAGGTTCTCCACATTTTTAAATTGCTGGACTGTACGGGTAAGAACAACACTAGTGAATTCCATCTCTCCAACAGCCTTGATGAAAGCAGTGTTTGACTGAAAAAAACATGAAATTTAATTTTAGACATGGCAAGTTCAATTACATCACTTCATATCACAGTAGAAAATAGAATTTGTTCTACCATGGGAAATAATATAATGGAATAGATCAGAACAGTAGTATAATAAAATAGAATATCCAAGTGCAAAAACAATTTTCAAGTAAGTACACACATTGTTTGAAGGTACTTTATTAAGATCAAAGATTTTTCATTACATTTATTTATAAATCCTTCCTAGTCAAAATAAAATAAATAATAAAAATCTGTATCTTTAGAAAGATTTTAAGAACATAGTTTTGTTAAGTCTGAGAAGGTTTGTCAATTTCAAATTATTACAGTTTAGATACATTCAATCATTACACAATACCAGGAAGGTCAGCCTTAGAGATACCAAGAATTCCATATTGGTCAGTAAAATAAGGGCAAAAAATCAGATTTTTATTTCACCTTTTTATGTTTAATTGACTATAGTCAATAATAGGAGTACAGAATTTCCTTTTTGGTCTTGAATTTTAAATACATGAATTTTAAAAAGTGAACATTCCTCTTCTCTTACATAGTGACTCCAACTTAGGGAGCTGGTTTCTGAAGGGAGGAGTGCTATTCTCCTTGCTGGAGAAGGAGGCTGGGGGAAGAAAGTTCAGAATTCAGGGCCTTTCTGCTGCCGTTATCGATGCACTCTCAGAGTTGGCCCTGCCTTATTAAATTTTAATCAAGTATCTTTCTAAGCATCAAGATGGCCATGTAAACACCATTTTTAAGACTATGTCTACAGGCTGGGCACGGTGGATCACACCTGTAATCCCAGCACTTTGGGAGGCCAAGGCAGGAGGACTGCTTAAGCCCAGGAGTTCAAGACCAGCCTGAGCAACATAGCAAGACCCTGTCTCAAAAAAAAAAAAAAAAAAAAAAGTATACTACCTGATTTCTAAAATTGCCAAAGGGCCTTCTTTTTCCCCCCATTATTTAAAAAATATTGTTCTAGCTCTGCCCTTAAATAAACAAAGGTCTGGACCTTTCTTTTTTAAAATGTTATATTTTTATAACATCTTATTACCACCACCATAAAAGGACTCAGTTTCTCCCACTTTACACTACATCTCTGTCCCCAAAGTAAATAACTGAAGCAATTATCTGCAATTTTTTTTTTAAATGTGGGTATTTCAGGGTAAAGAATTTGGACTGCCTAAATTACTCAGGTGATTGCCTGAATTATTACATATTTCCCATTATTCTTTGTACAAGAAGTCTTGATTTATAGAAAATTTTAGACAATGTTCAAAGAAGGAAATACGCTACCCAAACAATCTACTTAAGACTTCAGATTGGCAACCCTCTTTCATTTTTTAAAAACAAAATTTCTGCTATTTAATTAATACACTTAGAACTCACTGTCTGGATCATGTTGTTATATAATACTTCGTCTGATTATCTATTTTGGTGTGACTATATGTCAAGGCCATTGGAGTGGTTTTTGTCTCTGTTTCTAATATGAACTTGACAAGTCTGAAGGAAAACCAGTGAATAATGCTATTAAATGTGCAGTGCACAGATCGTGCACTTGGATCTATCTGTGTAAAGCTCAAATATTTACATGGAATGTTGACCATGATTTATAAAACTACTCTTTTAAATTAGGACATCTTGACATACAATCAATTTATTTTATGAATAGCCCCATTTGATATTTAAAAAAATATGCCTTTCAAATATTTCATAAATATATAAAATTTTACTACATTCTATTTTTTTCACATGACATTTAAACTCTCTTTACAAATCAACAAAAAATAACATTTTTTTTTCCTCTTTGAAAGTCACAGATGCAATGATTTTCGACTGGCAGGGCTTCACTGCATGCAGGAATGGCAGGATATGCTTTCTCTTATAGAACATATAGACATTTCTAGCATTTTGAACTATATAATTCACTTGCTGAGAATCAGTAGTATCAAAGAAAAGTGAGAGATCCCATCTAAATATTTACAATATAAAAGTCTTTCTTAAACTTCTTTAACAATGGTAAGGTTAGGATGGTGTCTGGACAGTGTTAACAGTCATTTTGATGACAAAGAAATAACATTACATGAAAAGTTTTCTAAAATATATCTCAGAGCAATTTAAAGAGAGGGGTGATCTATTGCACATAGATGAAAAATAATCTTTAATCATATCAGTAATATGTAAAACATGTTTTACATGTTTTAGAATAGAAATCCTTCTAATTTATTAGAAAAATCCAAAACTAGCTAAAATAACATTTTGGGTGACTTCATAAATTGTCTTCCGGGGATTTACAAATAAAAATTTCCTTTGTAATCATTTCTTGCCACAAGACTACCATTCTAATATTAATCCCACAAGAAAAGGCTTTTAGTTACATATACAATAACTGTTTAAAGTCTACTTTTCCTTATTAAATGTTTGTTGAGTCACTGACAGGTACTCAAAAGGACTTCTCAAGCTATATTATGAAGGTCATTCACTCAAGGTAAAATTTCAGTTACTTCTTTAAGAATTATTTTAAAATGCACACACTGTGAACGTATCGCAAATATGTAAGAAAAAGTCTATACTTTTTGAATAGTAGGAGGACGCCTTACTGCCTGCCCGGCTAAATCTGTGATGATCCACCCAGAAAGAGCAAAGCTGATCTGTCTGTCTGAAGCTGCTCATGGCTGCTGAATTGATACCTTCAACAGCCTAACATTCAAACTTAATGGCAGCAGCCACACCGGAGACCAGCAGAAGTGCTGAATTCTAATACACACTAAGCCTCTAGCTAGGTCTCTCTGAAAATTTCAGCCTCATCTTGGAGATAGAGCTGTATTAAAGACAACCAGAAAGTTTGAGGTTTTGCTTAGAATACAGTACCGTGCACATTTTGATTTCTGATCTTATACTCACACATGGTGTTTGAAATAAGGCTGTAAAACGATACAAACAAAACCAGCATTCAGCTTGAATCAAGATTGTACATCTATGACAGTGATATAGATTTAAAAACCCCCTACCAAAACAGTAACTGATTTCATCATGCACTCTATAAAAAAAGACGATTATGGAAATTTCTCTTAGTTACGAATGTAACCAGCTCACTGGTACCCAATGGGTCTCTGTCTCTAATTTGTCAAAAGTTGTTTTGAGCTCATTGAATGCCACGGTGAGGTCATCATTTATTATAATTTTGTCAAAAAGATGACCATATTGACTTTCCATTATCTGTGCAGATTTAATCATTTCTTGAAAATCTTCTTCCTACAAAAGGAAGTATTAAAAAAATAATTGGTTAACCAGGCCATTACCTCACTTCACATCAATGCAAACATTCTACAATTGGTTTACCTAATGCTGTTCTGTGTTCAGTCTTTCCCCTCAGCCAGAAATAAAAGTCATCCTCTTTAACCACAAGTGCTTCAGAAGCCACAATTTCTAATACTATTTCTATGATTTGCTTGTAACAAAAAACTACTCTGGCAAGAGTCAAAACTCCTGCCTTAACTGAATTGCAGGATAATGAGTCAGTAAGTCATCATTATGTGGAAATGTCAGTATTAAAATAGCTATTGGAGGAAAGAATTGTTTACTCTGATGTTTTGGCTGCATTATTTATGCTTATTCATAGGAAGGAATTTATAATATAAACTCCTTTTTCAGAGTTGGACAAATTTGTAAAAGGATGATTACCATGTTTTTTCTTTTGAGACAGAGTCTCACTCTGTCACCCAGGTTGGGGTACAGTGGTACAATCCCAGCTCACCACAACCTCTGCCTCCCGGGTCCAACCTATGCTCCTGCCTCAGTCTCCTGAGTAGCTGGAATTACAGAAGCGCGCCGCCACGCCTGGATAATTTTTATATTTTCAGTAGAGATAGAGTTTCTCCATGTTGGCCAGGTTGGTCTGGAACTCCTGACCTCAAGTGATCCACCTGTCCCAGCCTCCCAAAGTGCTGGGATCACAGGCGTGAGCCACCGCACCTGGCTGATTACCATGTTCTTTCGATGTCTCATTAAAAGTGTTTCAAGAGCCTTCGTGTCTCACATTTTTAAAGCCAGGAAGTATTTTAGTTGGCTATATAACATAAATGTAAGAGAGCCAAATCCTAAGAATATGTTATCCTTTCTTATCTTCATTGAGAAACCTTTAAAATGTCTAAATAGTACAATAAATCTTTATGTTGCAACATGCTGAAATAATTTGAGTCTGCATTTCATTGTCACATAAGATTTCACGATGACAGAAAATTTAATTTTGGTGTTGATCAAGAGCCTGAGTAACTAACAACGTATGACAGTACCTACTCAGAATGGATATGTACTGTTGGCATGTAAAAAAAGGTATTTATCAAATATGCTGGCAATCAGAAATGTGATCTGTATTTTGTAACCACAAGGAACAGTTCAAAAATTAATATAGACTAAAGTTAATGATGAGCTAATTAAGAGGGGGAAGAAAAAAATAAGCTCTTGACATTTAATTTCTTTGCTTTTGATTTTTGGTCCAAAGGTAGAATATATTAAGATTAAGAACAAAAACAATAAAAGGTCTTGCCAGAAGCCATTATAGTCATGAATATACCACAATCATCATTTCCAATAACACTCATAGAAAATACAAATATTATTGCTGAGGAATATTGGTCTACTTATCCTCTCCCCAAAATAGTGATTTTCTTTTGCTGTGCTAAATATAATTATTGACAAGGAGAGAAGCAAGGCAAATTATTAAATTTTTCATTTGGACTCTTAATGAGTAACAGTAACTCATGGTATTTTTAGCTTTAAAAATAAGGCTGCTCTGAAAATTAATTGGTCTAGATGTTATACAAATGTTCAGACTACAATAGTATGAAATGTATGCATAATAGCATACAAAATAGTTTTGAGTCAAAAGAATATGAAGATCCATTCACTGAAGCACAAAAAGTGTAACTGTTCAAAAGGTACATACCTAAATACAATTCTCTTACTGATTTTTTTTATCTATTATACTCTTCCTGAGTATATGCAGCTGTATATATGTTTTCATATATACAACTGTATCTTACATTGTATCTACTGCTTACATCTTATCTCCAAGCTTTTTGTGGTTGTTGTTGAGACAGGGTCTCACTGTCACCGAGGCTGGAGTGCAGCGGTGTGATCTCACTCACTGCACTCTCAGTCTCCTGAGGTTCTTGTGATCTTCCCACCTCCGCCTCCCAAGTAGCTGGGACTACAGGTGTGCAACCATCATGCCTGGCTAATTTTCATATTTTTTGTAGAGATGGGGTTTCACCATGTTGGCCAGGTTGGTCTTGAACTCCCGGACTCAAGTGATCCTCCTGCTTCAGCCTCCCAAAGTGCTAGGATTACAGGTGTGAGCCACCACACCTGGCCCCCAAGTATCACTATACTTACTGTGAAGGGCTTTGCAGCACCTTGGTCATCTCTGCTTGAAATAATCTTTGCATTTTTTCTTGTTTCTCTCAAACGCTCTATTGATGGAGGCTTTATAAATATCACATAGGGCTTAAATTCTAGTGTCCTTAAATGCTTCACTGTCTACAAGGAAGAAAAGAAAGTTTTCTCACATTTCTCCATAGCATCATGAATTACTGAATTTTCTTTCTAAGGAGAAAATTCCTCAAAATTATTCTTTAATTAAGATCAGTAGTCCTTTCAATATACTATTATTCAATTAACTGTTGACAATTAAATGTAACAAACACTTCTGAAAAGAAGCTGGGGAATGTAACTTGGCATTTAAAAATGTCCTGAAATACATCATAATTAACATTGAACAGAAGTGACTAAAAAAACCACAAAACTGGTTTTTAGATCAAATACCCCGAAGGTGTGATGAGTTAAATAACCCTCTGTCCATTAATGTCTTCCAACCATCCCTTTTAAGCCCCTTCCTGATTTCAGGCAGGAGTTCTCCTCTTTCGCCCTATCCTTCAGAGTGCCCTACAAGGGCAGCCTCCTGTTCTCCATGATGCCTGTCCACATTCCTTCATCAAATCGTTGATGTTCTATACTCGATACTTCTGGGGACCCATCTATAATCAAGGGTGAGAGTTGAAAGCTATTCTTCATGAGCTGATACTACACTGTGGGAATCTGAGAGCAACTGGACCCGGGACACCAGCAGAGAGGCTCTGCAGAAGCAGGACTGTCCCATTCACTGTTGTGCCTGATATGGTTTGGATCTGTGTCCGCACCCAAATCTCATGTTGTAATGTAATCCCTACTGCTGGTGGTGCAGCCTGGTGGGATGTGACTGAATCATAGGGGCAGTTTCCCGGGGTTTAACACCATCCCCCTTGTTGCTCTCATCACAATAGTCAGTTCTTGTGAGACCTGGTTGTTTAAAAGTGTGTGGCACTTTGCTCCTCTCTCTCTCTCTTCCTCCTGCTCTGGCCATGTGAAGTGCTCACCCCTCCTTTGCCTTCCGCCATGATTGTAAGTTTCCTGAGGCCTCCCCAGAGCTGAGCAGATACCAGCATCATGCTTCCTGTACAGTCTGCAGAGCCGTGAGCCAATTAAACCTCTTTTTTTTTTTTTAAATAAATTACCCAGTCTCAGGTATTTCTTCATAGCAGTGCAATAAGGGACTGACACAGTGCCCAAGTCACGAGGCAGCCTTCCTGATTCTTGAAACCCTTTTACTCCAGATTCATCCTCCTTTAGAGGTGCAAAGGGCTTCTGCAGGTCATTCTACCATTTGGAGGTTTTGCACCCCAGGGTACAGCTATCAGTGGGAGGAGAAACCATGGTCCCTGGGGGATGAGGAAAATGCTGTGGACTGGGCATCTACTAGAAGATGTATGGGCTGATAGGGAATTGAATGGCTTCATCCACTGAAATTCTCAGTTCAGAATGTTCACAACAGAGTTTCCAGGATCACAGATGCAGATATGGCAACACAATGGGGCTTTCATTCAGTACATTTCCTGCAAAATGCCCTTCAGTTCTAGTGGGGGGTTATTTGCTAGGATATATACAGAACTCAAGTCAAAGACTTGGAACCAAAATGTCCATTGTTAAAAATTATAGACACTGTTACTAATACATAACACATAAGAATGCATTATGCATGTAACAATGTGATGTATTCTTAAAAAATACAGAATAGATAGAAATATCTAAGAGTTACTTTACTTGACAATAACTGAATATAAATCAGAGTTACAAACACAGGTCTTGGAGCTTCCTCCACTTCTCTTTCTAATAATATTATGGGCTTTTCTTTTTTTCCACCAAACATGTCTCAAATTATATTTAAATGCTTTTGCCATCTCAGAAAAGCCACATATAGCCAAAAGGGGGTTGACTTTTTATTTATTTCATATTGAAATGCTCACATGAGGTGCTGTAGATGACATGGGTCAGGAGGGTATTGAATAGTTCATTGTTTACTTACATGAGGCTGAACATCCAACAAACAAACTTTGTTTTTAGCAAGGACAGACCGAACTGAGTCTATGCTTGTGCCATAGTAGTTGTTTTTATATTCTCCATATTCAATAAACCTGTAAAAAAATTAGATGCATCAGAATCATTTGTGAATTTAAAAAAATTATAGGTGGCAAGTTAAATTCATAGGTAAAAGACATTTCTGCTGAACATGTAATTTTTTTTAACTGTGTTTAATAATATAAATAGAGCCAAGTATTTCAAAATGTCAGTTTTTTAAAAATCTTTTATTTTACATTTTCAAATCAGTAACACTTGCTTAAATTACACTTAAACAGAAAAAAAGTACTTTAGTCTAGTAGGGCTCTAATGTTTTCCATCACCCCCTTTTTTTTTCAGAACTAATGCAATGCAATAAAATGGTGAATAAGCCAAACAATAGAAACTACTGGAATTTCATTGCACGCTACAGAGTAACCCAGCCCGGCTTCAGAACTAGAGGCACTGGGTGGTGGCTAATGGAGCCAGGGCAGTCGATCATGTGCTATAAAAACACAATCACTGCGCCAAACGCGAGAAAAGCATTTCGATGTTTCAATAAAATCCCATAATCCTGCATTAAAACACATATTGCTTCTGATGCCCTAAAATATTCGTGCCTCAGCAGATGGAAAACCTGGGCAGGGGGCACTGGGGTGGGCTTGGAGCTAGCTAGAGGAGATGGTACCAGCAAGTTTATTATCAGCATTTCAATTTTTTGAAGAGCCAATGAGAGAATGAGATGCAGGTGTGTGAAGCAGATGCTGGAGCTCGTGATATACTACCCAGTTGTTCATTAGTTTTTGAAGTAAAATTCAATCCAAATTATATGTTAAGATTCAATTAGTGGGCCAGAAGGAGGTCACAATAAGACACTTACAACCTTCCCTCATTCTGCAAAACAGTGTCTATACATTTTATAGAAATGAAGCAAATCTAGGTTACTAAAAATTAGAGGTGAAGATTAACAATAATTATCAACCAAATGATTGCCTTTTCAGCTGTTTCAAATATTATTATGATAATTAAAATACATTTAAAATGGAGGAGAACTCTCAGTTGTCTAAAACTGGACAGGCATGTGCTTATAAAAAAACAGTTGCATGAAAATTCTCAAAAGTGTCCACATACTTGTTATTTTGTACATCTGTCTCAAACAAATGCTTGGAAATGAAAATGTATTCAACACCATCACTCTCCTGGCTTCTTCTTGCTCTGGTAGTATCTACGATTTAATGAAAAGGAGTTGAGAAAAGCCCATATCAGCCACCTTAAGGAAAATACTAAAAAAGAAATCAAGTGTATTTAATTAGTTTTTTCAACAGGAGTTAAAAATGTACTTAAAAAGCAAATTAGCTCATAAAATATGGTAAGCTGTTATAAATCCAGATTTCCCACTGTTATTAAAATTATATTGATTGAAGATGGATTAAAAAGTTAATTGCATTGTATGTCTCTGCTATTATTCGCTATTTTGAAGGCTCTGTAACCTGATATAAGAGTGGTATTTAAACTCCTGAGGGAAAAAACCTTTTTTGCAAATAATATGCTTATTATCTTTATTAATCTTTATTCATTAAAGCAAATCTATTAACTACTAAGTTGTTAGGTAAACTCTGAAACTGTTTGACTCTCTTCCTCTCATGGAACATAGTGGGTATGCAATCAAAGTTTTGTTTTACCAGTCAAGTGAAGCCAAATACTTCTGTGTGCTACTCATTCCTCCTTTGCAAAGTGATAAATAGCATCATCTTAGAACACTATTGAACTTCTAACCTTTCAGTAATCTTGCCTGACTGTTTATTAATGAATTAAAATAGAGCAGAAAATATAGGATTCATTAAAGCGACAACAAGAACAAAGCCCAAGGATGGCAAATGTAAACCCACTACAGGCCATCCTTCCTGCAGATCCCAACTAAAAACTATGGATGCTAAGAAACGACCTGAACACTTTGAAAATAAGTAAAGCAGGTAGACTGTAGAGGGGAGTCAAACTGCATGGGGAGGAGTTTAACTTTATTTTCCTCTTAGCTTTGCCCCAAGGGTGGGAACTCTTCACAGAGCAGCATGGTAGAATCTGCAGCTAAATACCAATAGAAGTTCTAACGTTTTGGTGCAAAGAACCAGGGGGGCAGGGCGGGGGGAGTAAAAGTCCCTGTGGGTTGAAAAGTGTGGAGGAAATCCAGGAGACAAGAAAGCCAGAGAAGAAAATACTTTAATTCTGTATATGAGTCAACAATAGTCTAAGAAGCCCCTCTGTGCTATATACATGCAGTTCAAACTCAAACTAGCATGGCAAAGGCTTCATGAAGTGAACTGAGAGTGGGATGCACAGGTCTCAGCCTAACCCCAGAATAACAGTAGCACAAAACATATCTAAGCCAATGAAGAAAAGGCATAAAGAACTGAGCTGAGATCTGAACCATGCACACAAGTCTTAGACTAATCCTTGCACCCTAACAGACCCAAATCAATATAACAAAGGTAAGTGAGATAAAAGAAGCTGGAAGCTAAAATAAAAACATCAACATTCTGCAGAATATTGTAACAAGACCTAGTGTTAATACAACATTATATTTGCAATGTCCAAAATGCAATCTGAAATTATTCAACATGAAAGAACCAAAAAAAAAAAAAAAAAAAAAGAAAAAAGAAATGACCAATTTTCAAGGGGAAAGATAATAGATGGCAACCCTGAATGACCTGGAAGTTAGATTAGACAAAGTCTTTCAAGCAGGTACCATAACTATGCTTGAAAAGGTAAGGGAAAATATACTTGAATTGAACAAAAATATAAATTCTTAGCAGAGGAAAAGAAACTATAAAGAAAAAACAAATAGAAACTGTAGAACTGAAAAATAAAAATATCCAATAGAAATAAATCACTAGATGGGCCCAATAACAGAATGACCAAAAAAAGCCAGTGAACTTGAAGACAGAGCAATAAAATTATATAATCTAAACAACAACAACAAGATTAAAAATATATAGATAGAACTCCAGGGACCTATGAGAAAACATATATGTCATAGGAGTACTAGAAGGATAGGAAAGAAGAAATTGGGGCAGAAAAATATGTTTGAAAAAATAAAGGCCCCAAACTTCTATAATTTGGTGAAATATATAAACTTACCAATTTCAGCAGCTCAGCAAATCCCAAACAGGATACACTCAGAAGGGAAAAACTATGCCTACACACATTATAATCAAACTATTAAAAGCCAAAGATAAATAAAAAATCTCAAAGCAGCTAGGAAAAAACACAGAACACATAAGTGAATAATGATTTAAACTGTCACAGATTTCTTATTATAAATCATAAAAATAAGAAATCAATAAAATAATATCTTTAAAGCACTGAAGGAAAAGACTTAATCAAAATGTGTTTCAAGAATAAAGGCAAAGAAACTAATAGAATTCACAGCCGACCGTTCTAAAAGAAATATTCAGGGAAGTGTTTTAGGCTGAAGAGAAGTGATAAGAAGGAAACTTCTGTATTCAGGAATGAAGAAAGAACAAATAATTGTGTAAATGTAAAAGTCTACTTTTTTCCTTTTAAGTTCACTAAGACATATATGACTCTTTTAAAGAAAAGTTATAATATTGTCTGATAGAGTTTTCAATGTATGCAAATATAATACATTTGACACCTAAAACAAAAAGATTAGACTGGGGGAAGGGTCTTAAATGGCTGCCAGGTTTCCGTATTTTATGTGAAATACACCAAGTTAAACTGCAAGCAGATCATGAATGGTTAGATATGCATACTTTAATATTTAGAGCAACCAGTAAAAAACTAACCCAGTGATACCACCAGGGAGTCAACGGGTAGATTAAAATGGAAACTAAAAAACACCAAAATAATCCAAAAGAAGACAGAAAAAGAAGAAAAATACAATAAAATACAGAAGAGACAAACAGAAAACAAATAATAGTAACTTAAATTCAATCATTTCCATAGTAAATACACACACACACACACACAAACACACATACACACACACACCCCCAAAGGTTGGCACTTTGGGAGGCCGAGACGGGCGGATCATGAGGTCAGGAGATCGAGACCATCCTGGCTAACCCGATGAAACTCCGTCTCTACTAAAAAAATACAAAAAACTAGCCAGGCGAGGTGGCGGGCGCCTGTAGTCCCAGCTACTCGGGAGGCTGAAGCAGGAGAATGGCGTGAACCCGGGAGACGGAGTTTGCAGTGAGCTGTGAGATCCGGCCACTGCACTCCAGCCTGGGTGACAGAGTGAGACTCCGCCTCAAAAAAAAAAAAAAAAAAAAAAATTAGAAAAGCAGTAGAATTCACAACATTAAGAGAATAATGGCAGACGAAACAATCATCTCAACGTATGCAGAGAAAGCATTTTTTAAAAACTTCGACACCATTTGCGACAGTCTCAGCAAACTAGGAGTAACAGGAATGTCCTCAAACTGATAAAGCCAACGTTATATTAACGGTAAAAGATGGAGCTGTTTTCCCCTGAGATCAGGATCAAGGCAAGTCTGCTAAGTAACAACACGAAAAATAACTTGAAATGGGTCAAGACCTAAATATAAAACCTAAAACTGTAAAACTTCCAGAAGAAAACAGGAGAATGTCTTTGCAACCTTGAGATAGCAAATAACTTTTACATAGAACAGAAAAATTATAAAACATAAAAGAAAAAATGATAAATTAGATTTCATCAAAATTAAACTTTTGCTTTTTAAAAGACACCATTAAAAAAAATGAAAAGGTCAGCCACAGACTGCAAGGAAATATGTGTAACACATTTATCAGATGAAGAACATGTATCCAAGAGAATGTAAAGAACTCTCAAAACTCAGTAACGAGACAGTCCACTTTTTACAAATGGGCCAGGCACAGTGCCTCACACCTGTAATCTCACACTTTGGGAGGCTGAGGCAAGTGGATCACTTGAGGCCAGGAGCTCGAAACCAGCCTGGTCAATAGATTGAAACCCCATCTCTACTATAAATATAAAAATTAGTCGGGCTTCGTGGTGCACACACCTGTAATCCCAGCTACTCGGGAGGCTGAGATGGGAGAATCACTTGAACCCAGGAGGTGGAGGTTGGAGTGAGCCAAGATCACAACACTGCACTTCAGCCTGGGCAACAGAGCAAGACTTTGTCTCAAAAAAGAAAAAAAAAAAAAAAGTCAAAAGATTTGAATACACACTTTACCAGAGAAGATCGGGGGTCCCTAATCCCCAGGTCACACCAGTCTGTGGCCTGTAAGGAACCAGGCCACACAGAAGGTGAGCAGCAGGCAGGCAAGGGAGCATCACCATCTGAGCTCCTCCTCCTATCAGATCAGCAGTGGCATTAGGAGCACGAACCCGCCGGGTGCGGTGGTGCAAGCCTGTAATCCCAGCACTTTGGGAGGCCGAGATGGGCAGATCACGAGGTCAGGAGATCGAGATCATCCTGGCTAACCCGGTGAAACCTCGTCTCTACTAAAAAATACAAAAAACTAGCAGGGCGAGGTGGCGGGCGCCTGTAGTCCCAGCTACTTGGGAGGCTGAGGCAGGAGAATGGCGTAAACCCGGGAAGCGGAGCTTGCAGTGAGCTGAGATCCAGCCACTGCACTCCAGCCTGGGTGACAGAGCGAGACTCCATCTCAAAAAAAAAAAAAAAAAAAAAAAAAAGGAGCACGAACCCAGTTGTGCACTGCACGTGTGAGAAACCTAGATTAGGCACTCCTTATGAGAATCTAATGCCTGATGATCTGAGGTGGAACAGTTTCATCCTGACACCATCCCCTCCTGCCCTGTCTGTGGAAAAATTGTCTTCTACGAAACTGGTCCCTGGTGCCAAAAAGGTTGGGGACTGCTGCATAAAATCATGCTAGTCATTAGTTAAGGCAAACTGAAGTACGAGATACCACTACGTACTTACTACACTGACAAAAATTTAGAAGGCTGACTACAGCAAGTGTTGGCAAGGATGTGGAGCACCTGGAGTTCACATATGCTACTGGTGGTTTGTAAGATGGTATAACCACTTTGGAAATCAGTTTAGTAGTTTCTCAAAAAATTAAGCCATATGGCCTCACCATTCCACTCCTACTTGTTTAGCCAAGAGAAACAAAAACATTATTTGTCAAAAGACTTGTATAAAAACCTTGTAATAACTTTATTTACCATAGCCAAAAATGGGGGTAGAGGAAGAAACCCCTAAATATTCATCAACAGGTGCATGGATAGACAAA